ACCAAAGTAGTTTTTTTTTTTTTTTTTTAAGTGATGCTTTTAATGTCTGTAGTTAATCTGAAAACCCCATAAAGGTCAATTAAAGGACCCAAAGTGAGGTCACAACCCCAACTTTGGGCATGGCTGCTCCTGAGCGTCCCATCTTGCTGCCTGAAGCCGTCTCTGACTCTCTTCTTTCACTTTGAGTCTTAGGTGTTACTCAATTTTAATGTAAAACGACACAAACTATTCTAAGTCAAGAAAAGCCGAGCCAAGTCAAAACAAGCAGGAAAAAAGAGCCAAATGCCTTGATTACTTTAATTCCCGTTGGTTTCCCAGAGGTTCGGTTTCTCTTGCTTTATTCAATGTCTGTAATGAATTCTTCTCACATGACAATAGTTGCTGCTGCTCCAGCTCCATCATGATCCCAACATTCATTAAGGATTACCGAGACTCTGGAGGAAGATGCAGCTCACACACTAACATTGATCACAAAAGAGGTTTTCCAAGGTTGCCGAGTTTGGGAAAAGTTATAGCAGCTGAAAGTAATAGTGACCATTAAAGAAGCGGAAGTGAATTTCAATGCATAAGAGTAGCAGTTACCACGCCTGTGCTGTGAATTTCCCCTTTGATGAACTATGTCTGTTATTAACATTTCTAGGTAGAGAGGACCCAGACTAACCTGACTGCCAGATGGATTTGCTCCGCATATCCATCTGGAAACCTTCCGTTGAAGTAATTTTGGGAAGGGGCGAAAATACTGGTTAGCTGATTGGCCTATGTTGGTGATAGACGGGCCAAATAAACCAATCAGATCAACGAAGCATATGACGTACTAACAGAGCGACGACGAAGAGGAGCCAATTGATAGATCAAACTCTTGCTGAAACCAGTCGGGAGAAGAGCAAAAACATCTTTTCCTCTGAGAAAAGCCTCCAGAGCAGTGTTTTGCTCTTCTTTCAGTGAAGAAATACTCTGTAATTCCCATAAAACTTGCTCGATAGCCACGCTAACGCTAGTTTCATCGGCTGAAGCCGCCATGTTCTTTAGGCTGAACTGTCGCGCTTCTCGTTGCGTCACACCTCAACCCGCCTCAAAGCCAACGCTGATTGGACGTTCGTTTGGTGAACGGCTCCAAATTTTCTTTAACGGAGAGTCTCCAGACTGATCTGCGAGTGAAACCTTGAAAGCTCGCGAGATCAGGATGGTCTCATGAGGCTAGACCCAGACCCTGTGCTTCGGACCCGTAGTATGTCATTAGAGCTTATCTGCATCATTCATCGTTCAGGGAGGCTTCCAATGCTTTTCGGGTTCAGTCCAAAGCCTTGTATGTGAAGGTTTAACCAGATGATACCTTATGACGCAGCGTGGAAACATAAGCAGAAGAAAACTGATCTAAATACCTGAGGAATATTCTACGAAATCCAAGACATGTGCTGGGTGTGTTAAAGACCGGCGCTCGCTGTAATGCAGCGCTGACTGGAGGTTAACATCATATTCTAGATTACACAGCTCTCCAGAGATGTCATGTCTGCTTTTTTTTTTATATCAAATTAATGTCCTACAAGGGAAACGGCATCTTGAGAAAGAGGAAAGAAAACTTCTACTGTGATTTAGTTACATAAAAAGTTGGATCTTAAGTTGTAGGTGAGCACTATGTGTTTTCAAAGAGCGTCTTATCCGCTAACCATTACACTGTCAGAGCCCTGAAATTTAGCAGCACTGATGGGGACCTCTGAAGGTGTGGCACTCTCCCTTATAATCTAAACTCCAGTTATTCTCTGAGTCTCTGGAGAGACGGAGACGAGTTTCAGAGGTATTCATATAGATGTCTGATCACAGGACACATGGAGATTTATGTCGTTTGACGAGGAGACGGTTAAACATAGTCTTAAGACATGAATTATTAGCTTCAGCAAGAAGAAGCTTAAAAACATCCACTCTACTACTAGAGCTGCGTGGAGTGGCTGTTGTGAATGCTTCTCAGGGACATTGCATATCAACTACATTGCAAGTTAAACCCTAATGCCAAGAATAGTTTGCATTTGCAATTGTATTTGTAAAGCTGCAAGAGGAATATAGATGAGGACCTACCCGCTCCAGCCGGTGAACAATACCTCCTGAACGACCGACTCTTAACAATCATAGACAGGTTTCAGGTATTACAGGCTAACAATGGAACCAAACGACCCACTCCTCGGTTTCCATTTGCATGTTTCCAAGCGATTCAAGGCCTTGTCTACATAAGACTCAAACTCACTGCGGATCCAGACATTTGAATTGAGAAAGCTTCCTGGAGAGGTGGAGAAACGTCTTCAAATCTTGGAAACCAAGTCTAGTGGATATTTTTTGAATTTTACCGAATGAATATAGATGAGTTGTGGGAATTTATTTTTATAAATGTAGAATAGAATGTTTCTCTCCACTGTCGCTACAAGCATGCTCAGTGTGAGGGATTGCTGAAGAGTCAATGAGTCGATGCAATCAGCTGGTTTTCCTTAGATAGAAAACTTTGAATCAATCTGACTGGATGATCTGGTTGAACTGGAAAGTGACCTGAGATGACATGATGTGAATTGGAGCTATAGAAATAAACTGAATAGAATTGAATTGAAATAGATAATATAGTAGAAGAGTGTGGCATGCATTTAGGTTTACTGACAGCTCTTAATAAAATCCATAAAGAATTTAGCAGACATTGGGTTTAAGTTCTAAAGAAGCATCTAAATCTTTGTTCAATGCATTATAACATAATGGAAGGACTATAGCCCTACTGTACCTTTACAAAGAGAATGTCATATAAACGGACAGGAGGGTAGAAGAGAACATTGATAAGAGCAGGAACCAAGATCCCCAATGATAACTGCTGGTATTCACAGCCAGGGGCGAATTTAGGAACTTTGGGTCCCTAGGCAAAGACAGACAGGGGGCCTCTGAATGGAGAAGACAACACATAAAACAGACCCATTCTCCAGATAGAGAAATGTTAATAGAATAGACATCCATTATCTGTTCTAGGTTGTGTCCCTCTCTTCTTGTCCCTTTTCTTCTTGTTTTCCTCTCTATGTTTTGTACTCAGCTGACTTTTCATGCTGTCTCTAAAGGAATGAAAGATTTTTTCCAAGCACTAAGCTCACTTAGCTGATTGCTCCTTCCTGTGTTTCCAAAAAGGCCAAAGTAAATAACCCAGTCCTTCTTTTCACTGTAGACAAGCCATGATCTGCTTATCTGTTCTCCATTTTTCATTTGGATGAAATAATAGCTGCATGAATCATGACAGCAGACAAGATAGAGGAGAGCAGGAGGCGGGGTTACCAATCTACTCGCTCTGGAGAGCAGAGTTCGCTGCTTTTAGATGTGGTCTCCAAAGTCTCCAGTAGCAGAAAAAAAGTCTCTAGATTTGGCGCTAGGAGCTTTTTAGAAATCAAAGTGCTAGAGGGGTCTGAAAAGTGGCTAAATATAGCGACTAAAGCGCTAAGTTGGCAACACTGCTCTTTGCATGGTTTGATTTCAAATGGTTTGCTGCTGTCTGTTTGGACCTTTCTGAACATGTGCAGCAAATGGACTGATCCAATATGGTGGACACTGAAGGGGGGGGCTGAGATACACTTAATATTATCAGCCTTCTGATGGCATTTTAGCGAACGGATTTTTATCAAAAACATAATATGCACTAATAAGGAATAGCTTTATTAACCATACATGTAGAATGTGTTTTATGGGGCCCCCAGGAACTTGGGGCCCTAGTTTTGCCTAATGGTAAATCTGCCCGGTTCACAGCTCAGATGGAAGAAGCTGTCTACCTTTCATCTGTTAGTTGTGCGTACTACAAATCTAGCCTTGAAGGGAAGAATAAGAAGGAGAAAAGTCAAGGAAGGGAACTTGCTCTGCACACCAATGCTCTATGAAACACCAGCTGTGGCAGCATTGGGGTAAAGCGATGCTTTTCTTTAGAGAATGCAGAGAAACCAACCTGAGCTGTTGGTGAAAATCAATACCAGGTAAATAAAATAACCTGTTAGAAGCAGCATTAGACTCAATACGAGTGTTTGTGTTCATCTTCCTGCAGAAGGTTAGACCTAAAGATGCAACCAAAAACACAGAGGAAAGGTTTATACCAAATCATCAGCATAGCAGGGCTCAGTCAAAGCAGAGAGCTGCAGTAAATGCAATTCTTCAATCTGATTTGAGCTTAACTGTCTTGCAAAAGAGCACAGGTCATTAAAAATACATATTTTGCTATTTTCAAAGATCAAAAAGTGAAGCAGTATTTAATCTGAACTCTCTCTTATGGGATATGTGACGCTCATCACCTGCAGACTGAATAAAATCAGGATTTATGCTACCATTCAGCTTTAGGTACGTCTGTGGTTTGACGTGCCTGACTTCAAACACAGACAAGCAAAAGTTTCTGTTAGAGCACAGGAAGCTGTTGTCTCCTCCTCCAGAGAGAGGAGTGAGTCGACTTCTGCAAGCCAACACTAGCTCATTTTGGCAGAGCCGAGCCGTGTTGCTCGCTGCAGACTGTGTTGGTTTTTCTGACGAGCGGTCCTCCCCTGAACCGAGGTAAGCTCTCATTTTTACCGGCTGCTTCGTGTCCAAACCACGATCTTCTGATTCGCGCCTGTCTTGATGTTCTGGAATTGTGCAAAGCAGCGGCCAGAGTTCTCACCTGAGGTCGAATTTTTGCATCTGTTCTTTAAAAGTGTGTTTTTGGCTTTGCAGCTGTGTTAAATAGATGCTTTCATGTCTTTGATTTGATTTTAAAGTTATATTAAAATGCTGTTGTTATTTGAATAACGGAAAGGTGCAGTGCATTGTGATTTGAAGTGTTACCCCATTTCACACAGGAAATGAACTACTTAGAAGAATTATCTTCAAAGGCCTTTAACCTCCAATTGCTCTTCGCTTCAGTTCTACTTATTTCTGCATCCCTTTGAGCTTTACTTCCACCTATTTTAACTTGATGAATCCAATATTATGGTCAGTGAACACATCCTCTGCCTCCTGCCTTTCCTCAGGGTCAGAGGTCAGCCTGAGCCACAGCAACATGTCTGAGTCCCCCAAGCCCCATCATCCCATCCCCCCAGGCAAAGGGGAGAAGAGCCATGCGGGGGACTTCAGCTACGTAGGCATCGATGCCATCCTGGAGCAGATGAGGAGGAAGGCCATGAAGCAAGGCTTTGAGCTCAACCTAATGGTTGTGGGTAAGTTGCAGACACGAAACCATTTAACAGGAACTCAAACATTACCAGAGAAGACATGCACAAAGAAAATGCTAAGTTTAGCTAGACGGGCCCTGATATTAAAAGCAAACAAACCCTACCTAAGCCCTATCACCAACCATTAAGTGTTATGTGTGCTGGGGGTGAGGCAAGAGGAATGGCAAGAGAGAGCAAGACTTCGGTCTGATAACAGGAAGGCTGACGCCAAGCACTCTGCTAAACTGGCATTAGAAATACCAGCAGATGAGTCTGAATGGAGCAGACTAGTACTAGCAGTAGACGTGCTGCTCTGTCAGGCTGTTTACCGTTATCGATTGAACGCCAACGTGAGCTGTGTGTGTCGTTCATTATTCACAGACTTTAAAACCATGAGTTATAGAAAAACCAGTGTTGCTCATCGGAAGGATTAAAAGTTCAATTCAATTTATTTATATAGCACTAATTCACAACACACCTCGTCTCAAGGCACTGAAAAACAGGCCAAAATCCAACATCTAGAAACGAAGGTGTTGATGGCAGCAGCACAGCTGATATTTCTCTCCAGGATGGAGTCACAGCCAAACAGGAACAGACCAGATGAAGCTACTATGAGAAAAAGCAGAGAGAGCAGAACGTTAGAGATTGAACTAACAGATTCTGCAGAGTGGGAGAATAGAGATAGAATGAAGCAGAATGATGAAAAAGGGGTCCCTATGTCCTCCAGCAGTCTAAGCCTATAGCAACAGAACTATAGAGATAGCTCAGGATAACCTGAGCCACTCTAACTAGAAGCTTTATCAAAAAGGAAAGTTTTAAGCCTAGCCTTAAAAGTAGACAGGGTGTCTGCTAGGGATGTGCAAAATAATTGTCATGATGATGCATCGTGATTCTAATTTTCGTGATCTACTGCATCGATTCTTGACGCCAAGTATCGATTATTAATTTAAAAAAAATGAATAAAATTGCATGAATGGTTGTCGAACATCAGCCAAAATCAAGTGTAATACAACTTCCAGTCCAGTAGATGTCGCTGCGGATGTGTTGACGCACGCTGCCTTGTGTCACAAGCATTTCCAGCCGCGGGATACTGCGACGAGTCATTCAAAAGCAAAACATGGAGGAGATTGAGAAACTTCGTCCGGCTCCATCACATTTCAAATCCGATGTTTGGAAGCATTTTGGTTTTAAAAACAAAGTTAAAACTGAAGTTGATATGACGCACGCAATTTGCAAACACTGCTACACCAGAATTAGATACTGTGGGAACAGAAATATTGCAAAGCATCGCAATAATTCAGGTATCGTGATGCATCGTGATAGAATCGCATCGTGACTTCTTTTTCCGCTAGTGTCTGCCTCACGGACTAAAACTGGTAGTTGGTTCCACAGGAGAGGAGCCTGATAACTAAAAGATCTGCCTCCCATTCTACTTTTAGAAATTCTAGGAACCACTAGTAAACCTGCAGATTGAGAGCGAAGTGCTCTGTTAGGAACATAAGGAACAATCAGATCTCTGATATCAGATGGAGCTTGGCCATTTAAGGCTTTATATGTGAGAAGGAGGATTTTAAATTCTATTCTGGATTTAACAGGAAGCCAATGAAGAGAAGCCAGGATAGGAGAGATATGATTTCTTGTTTATTATCTTAGAGATAAATATGAATTTATACAGCGTGAATGTAGCCTTTTAGAAACTTAAGTTTGTGGGCAAAAAACTGTCCAGAACTTTACCAGAAGTGCCCACATACTTAGAAATGGGGCCTTGGGATGGACTCACTGGTCCTTTAAACAATAAACCTTTACATGTGACTCACATCCACAGCTCTTTTTGTAAATTGCATCCACATCGGGATGAGAAGTGTAATGCTATGTTTGCTGCAGAGGCAGCAGAAGCTGCTAGTTTACATGAAAACTCGATATTTGAGGCGCATCAAGGCGCAGCGAAAGTTCTGCTGCGTGTCTAGAGCAGCAGGAGCAGAGCCTCATGAGCTTCTGTACGGTGGCCGGGAAGTGCAAAACAACAATACAAAATCTGAAACACTTTTACAAATCTTGAAACAACTTCGCATTTGAAAAAAAATATTTACAACAAACAAAACACTTTTACAAATCATAAAACAATTTTACATTTCAGAAAACAAAATTACAACAAACGAAACACTTACAAATCATAAAACAATTTTACATTTCAGAAAACAAAATTACAACAAACGAAACACTTACAAATCATAAAACAATTTTACATTTCAGAAAACAAAATTACAACAAACGAAACAATTTTACAAATCATAAAACAATTCAGAAAAAAAAATTTGCTTTATTATTTGTAAAAGTATTTTGTTTGTTATTTTGTTTTCTTAAATGTAAAGTTGTTTTTATGATTTGTAAAAGTGTTTTAGATTTTGTATTGTTGGTTTGCACTTCCTGGCCACCGTACTTCTGAGCATTCGAGGCTCTTTTTTCAAGCAGCAGCGGCTGGAGGTGGAATAATTTAACCTCTGCTGCTTGATGCGCCACATCAACCAATCAGAGAAGCTGATCTGGGAGCTGGCAGGGAGACAGACACAGCACTGCTGCAGTGGCTGGATGTTGGAGGGGATTTAGCCGGGAGTTGGAGGGAAGTGGGCTGCCATTCGGCTGATTTTACCTGGGAAGGCTGGCAGCTACTGTAGAGCGGTGTGGCATTCATAAGGTTCACCTTTGACCTTCCTCTAATCAATCCTGGCTTCTGTCTCAGTCAGCTTTAATCCAAACATTGACTTTTAGGCAAAGATTTTGAAAAGTACCATTTAGCCAACAGAGCGAGAGCCTCGGCAACGTCTCTAGTAGGGATGCACGATATTGGGATTTTGGCCGATATCCGATATGCCGATATTTTAAAACTCATGTAGCCGATAACCGATATCGATACCGATGTTAAAGCTGGACAAAAATAAGTCGTCATTGAAAATAGCAGTTTTGTTATCCATTTCTGACACTTTGAAAAATAATATACTCAAATATATTTTCATATGCTGATATCAAATAGATTTTTAAAAACGCGGTATCGATCTATTTTACTTTCAAAATCTGGTGAAATTTTATCGTTCTGTTACAAACTATCGTGATATTTTGCAAATTCTTGTGAGATTTTGTTCGTAAAATAGATCGATACCGCGTCAATATATCAACATATAAAAATATGGCAACATTTGGTGAATTTTCGGGGGATTTCGTAGCATAACGATGACATATAGCAATATTTCATTAGTAAAAGAGATTGATATGGTGTTTTTAAATGGCAATATATCAGCATATGAAGATATTGGGATATTTTAATGGATCAATATTTTTTCCCTCGTCTTTAGAAGTTTTTAAGTCTGTAAAAAAGAAGTTTTTGAGGAAGAAGAAGTAGTATTTTTTTTATTTTTTTTTTTTAGACTTTAGAAACTGAGAAGCTGATCAAATATCGGGTTAAATATCGGTGGGGTGGCCGATGTCCGATATTCAGTTTTAAGGCCGATACTGATAGGGGGCCGATTATATCGTGCATCCCTAGTCTCTAGTTCTGCTTTTCGTTACATTAAACGTTTCTGTAGATGTAATTAGGTTGATCTAAAGCCCTGGAGGGCAGCAGTTTGTGGTCATGTGTTTGTGAAGCATCATCTCAGCTTCCAGAAGGAATCTTCTTGTATGACAAGCAAATATCTGTAACATAAACTTTTAGGGAAGAAACGTTGATACTTAGGAATGAAGAGAAAAAAATAATTACAATGAGAAAACCAAGAACATAATGGGGCCTTTATGGCACCGCTGCTTTTTTCAATTTAATGCAGATATCATTTTTATAGATAAGACATAAATCTTATGTTGGTGACATTAAAGTTGATGAAATGAAACAAATTTTAGTTTTTTTCTGTTTGTTGCAGGCTAACTGTTGACATGTACGCACATGCAGCTCTGCAACACCTCAAGGAAAATCAAAACTCATGAAGTCATATAAAAAGTTGCGTAACTGCTGAAAGTCTGTTTTATGCAGCAGCTGATGGTGGAAAAAAGAACAAACTATAACTTGTGATTTCACGTTAATTCTAATAGACTGAGCAAATGGTGAACAGCAACAAAATCAGATTTCTTTCAACAATGTATGGCAAAAACTTGAGTTCATGGTTGGAGTTTCTCTACGTTGTCATTTTTCATGCCAGTACTAACTTGCCAATAGTGTTTGATCCATGAAATTCTTGGAACGATGACTTAGTTCTGCTTCATCATGTGTAGATGCTTGGTCCTGTGTGATCACAACCTGATTAATCACACATTTTTAAAAGCAGGAAGAGTTTTTTGAAGAATGAACAGAAAATAAATGATGGAAACTAAAGTTTTTCAGACCCAGTCAGTGTGTAAAGTTTAGAACCGTAGTCCTGCAGCATTCAGACAAAGCATTTTCCTAATGCCTCCTTTTAACTGGCTGACCTGCCCTAAAATGCTGGAGTGAGCGATGCTGTGACCAGGGGCGGATTTAGGAATTTTCGGGGCCCTAGGCACACTGGAAAAACGATCTAGAAATAAGTACACATTTCTTAAATTAAGTGTATTTATCCTTAATTTGAGTAGGTAAATTAGATAATTTGCCAATGGAATGAGTATTTTTATTCTTAAAATAAGATAATTAGATAATATGCACTAGAAATAAGACAATGCAATTGTGTTTTCTTATTTTAAGTGTAAATTGTCTTGATCCATTGGCAGAATGTGTCTTTTACCTCTTTTACCTCTTCAATCCAAGAACAAATGCAATTATTTTAAGAAAAGATTTCGATTTGTTTCCAGTGCAGAGACAGGCAGGGGGCCCTATGAATGGAGAAGACATCAAACAGCCCCATTCTCCAGATAGAGAAATGTTAATAGAATAGACATCCATTATCTGTTCTAGGTTGTGTCCCTCTCTTCTTCTTCTTCTTCTTGTTTTCCTCTCTATGTTTTGTACTCAGCTGACTTTTCATGCTGTCTCTAAAGGAATGAAAGATTTTTTCCAAGCACTAAGCTCACTTAGCTGATTGCTCCTTCCTGTGTTTCCAAAAAGGCCAAAGTAAATAACCCAGTCCTTCTTTTCACTGTAGACAAGCCATGATCTGCTTATCTGTTCTCCATTTTTCATTTGGATGAAATAATAGCTGCATGAATCATGACAGCAGACAAGATAGAGGAGAGCAGGAGGCGGGGTTACCAATCTACTCGCTCTGGAGAGCAGAGTTCGCTGCTTTTAGATGTTGTCTCCAAAGTCTCCAGTAGCAGGAAAAAGTCTCTAGATTTGGCGCTAGGAGCTTTTTAGAAATCAAAGTGCTAGAGGGGTCTGAAAAGTGGCTAAATATAGCGACTAAAGCGCTAAGTTGGCAACACTGCTCTTTGCATGGTTTGTTTTCAAATGGTTTGCTGCTGTCTGTTTGGACCTTTCTGAACATGTGCAGCAAATGGACTGATCCAATATGGTGGACACTGAAGGGGGGGGGGGGCTGAGACACACTTAATATTATCAGCGTTCTGATGGCATTTTAGCCAAAGGATTTTTATCAAAAACACATGTAAAATGTGAACTTGGGGCCCTAGGCAACGTCCTAGCATTGCCTAATGGTAGCATCCCCCCCCAACCAGTGTGAATGGTTGTGTGTCATGTCAACCATAGACTGCTGGAGAAAGGCACCAGCAGCCCTCGTAAGCGTGACGGAAAATGGATGGAAGTCATTGAAGTCTAAAAGAATTAGGGATGCACGATATTGGGATTTTGGCCGATATCCGATATGCCGATATTTTAAAACTCATGTAGCCGATAACCGATATCGATACCGATGTTAAAGCTGGACAAAAATAAGTAGTCATTGAAAATAGCAGTTTTGTTATCCATTTCTGATACTTTGAAAAACAATATACTCAAATATATTTTCATATGCTGATATCAAATTGATTTTTAAAAACGCGGTATCGATCTATTTTACTTTCAAAATCTGGTGAAATTTCATCGTTCTGTTACAAACTCTCGTGATATTTTGCAAATTCTTGTGAGATTTTGTTAGTAAAATAGATCGATACCGCGTCAATATATCAACATATAAAAATATGGCAACATTTTGTGAATTTTCAGGGGATTTCGTAGCATAACGATGACATATAGCAATATTTCATTAGTAAAAGAGATTGATATGGTGTTTTTAAATGGCAATATATCAGCATATGAAGATATTGGGATATTTTAATGGATCAATATTTTTTCCCTCGTCTTTAGAAGTTTTTAAGTCTGTAAAAAAAGAAGTTTTTGAGGAAGAAGAAGAAGTAGTATTTTTTTTTTTTTTAGACTTTAGAAACTCAGAAGCTGATCAAATATCGGGTTAAATATCGGTGGGGTGGCCGATGTCCGATATTCACTTTTAAGGCCGATACCGATAGGGGCAGATTATATCGTGCATCCCTAAAAAGAATGATGACACGATATTAATATAATGATATAATAAAAGCAATAATTTAATGCATAAGACAATCTGAAGCATGTTGGAGTGCCTCACTTCTCCCCTTCAACATATGGAAAATCTGTTGAGTTTGCAATGTATCACGCAGGCAGCCATGTTCAGCAGACACATACATCACTGCCGACGCTTCTCCAGGGGATTCATCCCTTGCTACTGAATACTTCTTCTCTGTGTGGTCTGCCAGATCCATCTGTCTTCAAAGCCCCTGCAGGTCGCTCATTTCACCCTGCAGTTTCCTGCTTTCCTCCACCTTCCAACTACACTCGCACAGAGAGTCACACCTGATGTCATGTCCATATGGTGATGCTTTCTATGGGTTAAGCTAAAAAATTAGAATAAAAAAGAAGTTGAACTTATGTGCAGGAGCACATAATTTCAATTTGAGAAAAGAATTTCATCTTCTTGCACTCAAAACTTATAATGCTCACAATCAAAACATGCGCTCTCAAATATTTTCTCTTCTCTCTCAAATCTTTGTTTCTTCTCTCAGATTTAATGCTTCTTGCACAGATATTTTCTCCTCTTGCTTGCCTCCTTCTCTTCGCGCACAAACCGCGCTCTGCTCGAGTCTCAGATACGCTCGCAAACCCGTAGGCTCTGCTTGCGTATTTTTTTTGCTCTCTTAGATTGGATCGGGTGCGCTTGTTTAACCCTACTCTACTTCTCCAAAATTATACTTCATTATACTAACAAATTATTTCAAGATAATCATTTTATATGTCGGTTCTTTGCTTTTGTACATAACAAACCACTAATTGTTTAAAATTACTTAATTCAGAATTGTTTGGGTTATCTATAAGTCCTGAACTTTGCTGAATCGAGCCACAAAACTACTGTAAATAAGTTTCAGCTGACGCTCTTATAAGTGGCGTAGTAGCACAGGCACACTCAGTAGGGTTAAACAAGCGCACCCTTTCCGAGGCTGTCGTTCTATTGGCTGGAAAGGTTGCTAGGCGACGATCCAACTGCAATCCGAGAGAGAGCAAAAAAACAATCCTCAAGCAGAGCCTACGGGTTTGCAAGCGTATCTGAGACTCGAGCAGAGCGCGGTTTGTGCGCGAAGAGAAGGAGGCAAGCGAGAGGAGAAAATATCTGTGCAAGAAGCATTAAATCTGAGAGAAGAAACAAAGATTTGAGAGAGAAGAGAAAAGATTTTAGAGAGAGCGCATGTTTTGAGTGTGAGCATTATAAGTTTTGAGTGCAAGAAGATGAAATTCTTTTCTCAAATTGAAATTATGTGCTCTTGCATTGATGCAGGATAATTCTCCCATATTAACGTAACTCTCCTGAATCTAGGGCTGAAACGAATAATTCAGATTAATCGTGATTAATTGGCTATTGAAAGAATCGTCAACTAATTTATTAATTTATTAATTGTTAACTGGAGAAAAGAGACTGTAAAACACACCTTTAGCTGACAGAGAGACCCACTTAGAGCAGCAAAATTGTAAAAGAATATAGAAGCATTTAGCATATTTTCCTCTGTTAATTTGCTACTCAGTGTAAACATTTTAGTGTCAGCTGGTTTCATTTCACGAAATGTCCTCTTTAATGAATCTTTTGCTGTCTTATTATTAATTGAAAAAATGATCAACTGATTAATCGATTTGCTAAATAATCATTTGTTGCAGCCCTACCTGAATCTTTGTGAAGGAGTAAAATCCAGACTGGATTTAACTTTGTTATTTTTGTGTTTCAGGGCAGAGCGGCCTGGGAAAGTCCACCCTGATGAACACTCTGTTCAAATCCAAGGTGAGCCGTAATAAATCGGTGCAGTCCGGCCCAGAGGAGAGGATCCCCAAGACGGTCGAGATTAAATCCATCAGTCACGGTTGGTCTATACTCAACTTTAACAGCTCAAGCAATTCCCACCGCACATATGGTGCTAATAATGAGGCGTTTTCCATCTGAACTGTGCTTTGCTTTTCCAAAAAAGTAAAAAAAAAAAAAAAACAATGCACTGGACTTCGTTTCCAAGTTTGAACATTCTAAAAATTATCTAGAAATAAGTACAAATTTCAGAGAAAATGTACCCCTTAATTTTAGTAGGTAAATGGGATGATTTTCCAATGGAATGAGTATTTTTACCCTTCAAATAAAATATTTAGATATGTTTGCACTTGTGGTAAGACAATGCAGTTGCTTTTTCTTAGTTTAAATGTAAATTGTCTTGTTCCATTGATAACGTGTCTCACTTACCTCCTGAATTCAAGAACAAATGCTCTCAAAAAAATCAAGAAAAAATGACTCATTTAGATTTGCATTTTTTTGCAGTGAAGACGTTTCTCTTCCATCCAGGAAGTTTTTTTCAATTCAAAATGTCAGGAATAGCGTTGAGTTCCAGGTTTTATCCAGCAGCCCAACAAAGCCTTGATTTAGTTTAGAAAACATGCAAATTGAACCAGAAGAACGGGTCCACCTTAAGGGTGTGCAAAATAATCGTCATGACGATGCATCGCGATTCTAATTTTTGTGATCTGCTGCATCAATTCTTGAAGGCAAGAATCGATTATAAAAAAAAAAAATGAACAAATAAAATACATGATTGGTTGACGCACATCAGCCAAACCAAGTGGAATACCACTTCCAGTCCAGCAGATGTCGCTGCGGATGTGTTGACGCCCGCTGCTTTGTGTCACAAGCATGTCCGGCCGCGGGAAACTGAGACGAGTCATAAGAAATAAAACATGGAGGACACTATGAAAATTCGCCCCGCGGCTCCATCACATTTCAAGTCAGATGCTTGGATGTATTCTGGCTTTAAAAACAAAGAAGGTAAAAATGAAATTGATATGACGCACGTCATTTGCAAAAGGATCACTGAGGCCATGTAAACGTACTGATTATCCTTATTTTGTTATTTTCAGTTTGATGAATCCTAAGATCTTTTTGTCAGTGTGTCCACGCCAGTAATAGTAACATTTGTGTCCAGTATTTGTTTCCATGGCAACACCTCCAAAAGTGGTTTCAATAAATACAGCTATGTATGAATTCAGTTGCTTTCAGTTCTGTATCAATTGAAGACACGATCCAGATCACACCCAGGCAGTCAGCCACTGGTAAAGGCTGGATCTTTTTCTTACAGTGTTCAGTAAAAATATTGCGATGCATCGCAATATTTCAAGTATCGGGACGAATCGTGATAGAATCGCATCGTGGCCTGTGAATCGTGATTCGAATCGATTAATGACTTCTTTGCCAATAATAATAATACATTTTATTTAGCAGCGCCTTTCTATTTAAGGTTTGGTTTTCTTTCTTAACATAGATGGCTTCCTTCACGCCCCTCTCAAACCACCTTTCTTCTTTGTCCAAAATATTGAAGATTTTGGTCCTCAAAAGAAGCCAAACGACCCCCATTCCAAAGGGGGGGACCCGTCCATCCGTTTCTATTTGCATGTTTTCTAAACTAAAACCAGGCTTTGTTGGGCTGCTGGATAAAACCTGGAACTAAACGCTATTTCTGACATTTGGAATTGAAAAACTTCCTGGATAGAAGAGAAACACTGAGCTCCTCTAATCAGCTGCTACTGGCGAAGCCTAAAACCAGACTTAAAACCAAAGATGATCGTGCCTTCATGGCACCAAGACTCTGGAATAACTTGCCTTGGCATGTTAGATCAGCAGGCGGCGTTGAGGTTTTTAAATCCTCTTTAAATCACATTTCTTCTCCCTGGCTTTTAATCATGTCTAAGTGGACATTTGGCAAATATTTATTTTAAATTTTATTTTATTATAAAATGTATTTTGATTGAAACATTTATCTAATTCTATTTTTGTGTTTATGTATTTTAGCCTTCAGCTTTTATCTTATGTTCCTTAACTGTGATTCCTGTACAGCACTTTGGTCAACCCCGGTTGTTTTAAATGTGTTTTATAAATAAAGGTTGAGTTGAGTTGAGAAACGTCTTCAAACTTTGAAACAAAGTCCAGGGGATTGTTTTTTTTTTTCACTTTTCTGGAATGACTAGGACCTGGATGACTGAGAACCTTCACCAGCATGTTATATGTTTTGTTTTGTTCTCTTTTAACCAAAATACTTATTCCTTAACAAAGAAAACCTCTTTTTTTTAGATATTGAGGAGAAAGGAGTGAGGATGAAGCTGACGGTCATTGACACTCCTGGCTTTGGGGATCAAATCAACAATGAAAACTGGTGAGTGAAGTCATTTCCCCAATTTACTGTAGGATGTTGGATCAAAGCCGTCTAATCAGATCTGAGTGAAATGGAAATAAAATGTTTCTATCAATTCTATTTAGTTTATTTCTATAGCTCCAATTCACATCATGTCATCTCAGGTCACTTTCCAGTTCAACCAGATCATCCAGTCAGATTGAGTCAAAGTTTTCTCTCTAAGGAAAACCAGCTGATTGCATCGATTCATTGACTCTTCAGCAATCCCTCACACTAAGCATGCTTGTAGCGACAGTGGAGAGGAAAAACTCCCTTTTCAGTTTTGAAAATTCCAGTATAGGAATCATGTCAAACTGGATTTGGGAATTCGTATAACTTTCTGTAAACTATGTTTATCTTTCCTCCATTTCCTAGTTTATAGACGTTCTTCCTGCTAATCCTGTCAGTATAGGTGATTACTCATGTCTTGGTAGTTTGCTGTTGTCCTTTCTCTGAGTAACTGTACTTAAAGAAAACAAAGGGCTGCCGCTAATGATTATTTTGCAAATCAGTTAATCTGTCGATTTTTTTTTTTTTGATTGCTCCATTAATAATCAGATAGCCAAAGGAACCTTAAAGAAGATTCTTTTTTTTTTACGAAGTTCAACCAGGTGAAACTAAAATGTTTCTACTTGAAGAGTTCTGAATGGAGCAAATTGACGGACAAAAAAGTTTTCTTACATCGAATGCAAAATTTTGCTAATTATTTATAATTTTTTTTTATAATCCCTGCTCTAAGTGGGTCGCTCTGTCAGCTAAAGGCATGTTTTAGTCTCCAGTTAGCGATTAATTGGTTACTAAATCAGTTGACGATCATTTCAATGATTAATTGTTTGAGCCCTAATATAAACTATATTTTTTTAAGGCTAAACAGTTTGTTTGAAACTTGTATTTCAGCTGGCAACCCATTATGAAGTTCATCAATGACCAGTATGAAGCCTACCTGCAGGAGGAAATCAACATCGACAGGAAGAAAAGGATCCCAGACTCCAGGGTGCACTGCTGCATATACTTCATACCTCCTACTGGCCATTGGTAAGACTCCTTCCTCCCCTCCCCCACCCACACCCACCAGGTGGTCCACATTTCCTTAAATGACCCCTGAGATGATTGGATTTTGGCCTCCCTGGAATCCCCAGCCCTGCGGACCTCCTGTGTGTCCACAGCCCCGTCGGTTTTTAAGATTCATTCAATGATTTCCTGGAAATTAGTTTTCTTTTTTTTATATATAATAGGCTCCTTTTGACCTTTTCTCAGTTTCAAAGTTTCTGATTTAAAGGAAAGCTGCCAAACATAAAAAATACGAGATAAAGTTGCAAGAAAGAAAGTCATAAAATTATGAGATTCTCAAAATTATGAGAACAAAGTAATAAAATTGCAAAAATAACTTTGCAACATTACGAGAATAAAGTCCTATAATTAGAATCAGAATCAGGTTTATTGCCATCGTTAGTGAAGGAGTTCACAAACTAGGAATTTTTTATGGTACAATCTTGCAACATGAAACATATAATATGGAATAGGTAAATAAAATAATAAAAATATCTAAAACACTGTGGGTATAAGGCATGCAATAAAATAGACTAATATATACACTTAAGATGAAAATATGTATATAAAATATAAAAAGTAAAATAGCATCTTACAAGGAGTGCAAATAGAGCATTGAGAATAAAGTAATATTTTATGTCAACTCTTCCCAGAAGCCCTTTCTTCCCTAAAATGAGGAATGTGGAGCATCATGTGAAGTTCTACTTTAGCATCGGTTTGACAAATCAGGGAATCTTTTAGCAGCAGCATCAAACTGGGCAGGAGGTCAAAGTGGACTCTGGTTGCTGATTGGTGGAGCTGGTCGGCTGTCATCTGCTGGGCGGAGCTCCAAGCTTTCTTTCTCAAACATAGGGTTGTTGTATGAGGACTTTATTCTCGTAATATAACGACTTTTTTTGTCGTAATATTACAACTTTATTAAAAATTAAAAGAATCTCTATCGTGGCCCTGATACTCGTAGCTTTCTAAGCAGACTACAGTCAGAGAAAAGCTCCGTCCATCGATGGTGGCAGCGCATCTACACTGCAAAAGCGATCCAGAAATAAGTACAAATTTCTTAAATTAAGTGTATTCACCCTTAATTTGAGTAGGTAAATGAGATAGTTTACCAATGGAATGAGTATTTTTACTCTTAAAATAAGATAATTAGATAAAATGCACTTGAAATAAGACAATGCAATTGTGTTTTCTTATTTTAAGTGTAAATTGTCTTGTTCCATTGGCAGAATGTCTCTTTTACCTCCTCAATCCAAGAAGAAATCAACTTATTTTAAGAAAAAATTACTTATCTAGATTTAGATTTTTTGCACTGTAAAAAATAAAATTCTCCCAGTATAGTTTTGCTCTAACCTCTTCTGTCTGTAACTCTATGACAGAACCATCCAATAATTCCCCCCTTTGTGCACTAAGAGCTCCACAGTTGTCCTCTTAGAAAGCAGCTGTGGAGAAGGCATGCATGTACGGTTGACAGAAACCCTCAACAGTACGGTAAGTCCTGATGCCACAGCTGCTGCTTTAGAGGCCGCATGTGTTTGGTAAGGAGGGGGGGGGGGGCACATTGACACTGTGGGAGTCCTGAGCATTCCTATTAATGCGCCATTGTTTGTCTGGATTGCTTTCCAATTTATTATGGCATTAATCAAAAAGAACTGGCTGCAAAGTTGATCACTGAAGCAGAAATACTGCAGTTTGACATCAGCTCTAATAAAGCATCACAGCATCCCCCTGCAGGAGCTGCAGCTTCTAGCTCAGCTTCATGGTTTGTTCCCTGATTGCTGTCATCTGCCAACTGCTTTCTGATCGGGGGCCATAAAGGAGGCGAGGACACAAGTTATTTATTATTCCTGCATTTTCTCACTGTAGCCATAGATCTATTCCATTCATAGTGAATCATATCGATGGGTTGCTGCATGCACATTGTTTTTTTTTTTTACATTAATTACACATGTTTACAGAAAAGTGCATGTGTTCTTTAAAGGATATCACAATTCTCAGTCAGGCTGATCATCCTGCACACATGTTCTTGTACATTTTTATTCCTAAACACTTTCAGCTCTTTTTAAACAATAGTTAGAATTAATAGAACGCATCATTTCCTATATGATGCTTATATTTTTTTAGATGTTCCATGGTTTGTATCTTGGTCCCTGGGGCTTTTAATGCTCAGCATCACTCATCTCGATTTAACTTTGTGCTGCTCTGTTTCTCCTCTTCGTTCCATGCTTTGTGGAACACATGCTCACCAGTGTTTCCTCCTGTTTTAAGGCCGATGCGCCCGTAGCTCTGCAGCATGAGGCACGCCTGCCCTGCAATACGCCCCTGGGAGTCTGAGCCAGGCTGCCTCGCCTCGGCCGAGGCTAATTGAAGGGCAGAGCAGACTGCATGAAGGGAGTCTGTGTGAAGGAATTAGCCGAAGGCTAAACTGAGACCAAGTTTAAAAAATAAACCATAGAGAATCACTCAGTCCTAAGAGCACAGCACAGCACAACTCTTAAAGCTTTTTAGATTTTAATATTTACACATTTTTATGTATTTTAAATCTAATAATTTCAGTTTACTTCTATAGCACAAATTCACAAAATATTTCATCTCAGGTCACTTTCCAGTTCACCAGATCATCCAGTCAGATTGATTCAAAGTTTTCTATCTAAGGAAAACCAGCTGATTGCATCGACTCATTGACTCTTCAGCAATCCCTCACACTAAGCATGCTTGTGGCGACAGTGGAGAGGAAAAACTCCCTTTTCAGTCTAACGTTTTGAAAATTCCAGTATAGGAATCATGTCAAACTGGATTTGGGAATTCGTATAACTTTCTGTAAACTATGTCTAATTTTCCTCCATTTCCTAGTTGATAGATGGCATGTAGCGACAGGAAGATGGCGGTAGGAAGTACAGGTGTGCTGGTCGCTCTGCTACTTTACACATTTTTTGTAAAGTCCACACTGCCGATAAAAAACTGCTATACTAAGGACACAATTTTTAATAACATTTTAAACAACTGGGTTGACAAAGAGGCGCATTGGCGCAAGCAAACAAGCAAGATCAATGGCGTTTTTGGGTATGGAGAGTACACCTTGGCTGTTACACTTGCCGTTTCAAATCGCTACCACCAAAGGAAAAAACGCAAAGAAACGCCTTGTAAGAAATCAACAAACAATGCGATGATAATATGCCTTTGCCTACTTTTGTCGGGTGACATCCACCAGTGTCCAGGTCCAACTGGTCAAACAACAGACAGAGCAAACCTTCCTGATGCGACTAACGCTACCTGTGGCTCCAGTGCATCCCCAGCGGCGGTGCTCCCAGGTGGTGTCTGCAGGGACCCGGCGATGGCTCAGGTGAACCCCTGCATCGACCTGAGATGGACCGATAGGATTGGTTCCTGTTCGGATGGTTGTTTGGATCTGCGGCGTGATTCCCCGGGGAGGCAGCGGTTCACGTACGTGGAGAGTGCATCAGCCGCTGCCGTTGTCAACCCTGAGCTTGGTGGTGCTTCTGTGCGGCGCTCGAGTCCAGACGGTCCGGGATTTCGCCGTGGTTCGCTGGGTGGACGTCCTGCAGCGACGGGTGCGTCTCCCGCGGATGTGAACGGCATGGCGGAGGGACCCAACGGAGAGAATCCTTGTGGAACCGGCGCAGTGAGCACCGCCAACATCCATAAACGCTACACAGTAAATAAAGCGATACGCATGAACCGGAAGTGGAAGGTCGTTCACACTGTAAATAATGCACGCATAATCTGGGATCATAAAGTCAAACCAAAAGGTCTCTTTGGCGGGCATTTAAATATCCGAAGCTTAAAATCAAAAAGCGAACAAATTATCCACATGATGACGGAATCAAATCTGGATTATTTCTGCCTATCTGAAACTTGGCTGCATAATAATTCCCCTACTGCTGCGCATTTAGTTCCGGGGTATGTCTCATACAGGAGAGATAGAGCTGACGGCAAAGGGGGAGGGGTAATGATTTATGTGAGAGATAACATACAGTGCAGTGAAATCCAGTGGAAAACTCCAACTGATTTAGAATGTGTTGGAGTAAATTTATCTCTTGCACCTCAGATGTCTCTCACATTAATAGTCCTATATCGACCACCATCTGCAAAGATAGACTTTTATGATAAATTCAAAGAAATTTTAAAGCAGTGTGATTTCAAAAAGGAGGTTATAGTGATGGGTGATTTCAATCTACATTGGGACAGTTACAGTACAAGGAAAAAACTTCAGCAAATTATGGATGGATTTAATTTTGTCCAGATGGTTAATGGACCGACACGGATTACAAACACTTGTAGCACTAAAATTGACTTAATCTTTACCAATCATCCTGAACGGATCACAAAATCATACAATATGTTGACTGGTCTCTCAGATCATAACATGGTGCTGATAACAAGAAAGTTAACCAGACAGCGATTCTCAGCCTATTCCGGAAAGAAGGAGTTCATTGGCATTCCAAGGAATAAACAGGAACAATTTCACACTGCAATAAGAAATATGAACTGGGACATTTTACTATTGGATAATAAACTAGAAATAATTAGTCAGAAATTCACTGAATGCTTACAGACAAAAATTAATGAATTTGCAGTGACAATTAAACACAAAAGCAGAAAGTGTTCTCTTCCCTGGCTCAGTGACGACATCAAACAATTAATGAAAGACAGAGATAATGCCCTTAAAAAAGCCAATAAGTCCAAACTATCTTGTGAGAGACAAAAATTTGTTTCATTACGGAATAAAGTGACAAGACAACTACGAAAAGCAAAGGCAGACTTTTTTATCACAATTTTTAAAAACTGTCATGGAAACCCAAAAGCTATTTGGGAACAGATTGATAAATTAACAGGTAAAACTGTTCCCAGTAACAATTTAATACAGTTGATGAACAATGGCATGCTTTTGCAGGATCAGTCTGATGTGGCACAGACACTAAATGAATATTTTGTTGATTCTGTTGAGACCATAGTCAAAAGTTTTCCTGTGAAATATAACAACATACCTGCCATTAGTTCAGAATTGTTAATTGAGCCCCCACTAAATCCAACATCTGTATCCATATCCGATGTGGAAAAGGCAATTAAACAGCTTAAGTATTCAAGAGCAAAAGACGTGTATGGGATGGACACACACATGTTAAAACGAATAGGTCAGTCAATTATTGGTCCACTAACACATATCATTAATATGTCACTAGACCAAGGGAAATTTCCTGAGCCATGGAAATTTGCTAGCGTCATTCCCATATTTAAAGGTGGCAACTCTCTTCTGACATCTAATTATCGACCTATTAGCATTTTGCCAACAGTATCTAAAGTTTTTGAAAAACTGGTTGCTAAACAAATCATTAATCATCTTAATTGCAGTTCCTTTCCTTTACACTCAATGCAGTTTGGATTTAGGGTTAATCATTCTACAGAGACGGCAACAAGTTATTTTCTGGAAAAGGTTAAATCCAATATGGACAAAGGAAGGATAGTGGGAGCAATTTTTTTAGACCTTCGTAAAGCTTTTGATACAGTTAATCATTCCATTTTACTGTACAAACTCAGTACATTTAATTTTTCCCCCAAATTCATTAGCCTCATTAGTTCATACCTTTCATCTCGTTCTCAAAGTGTAAGAATTGACCAATACAATTCCACCCCCTTACTATTATCAACTGGTGTTCCACAGGGATCAATTGTAGGACCAATTCTTTTCAGTCTATATATTAATGATTTACCATCTGTGTGCAAGAACTGTGACACTTTGATGTATGCAGACGACACAGCTATCTTGGCTTATGGAAAATCCACAGAGGAAGTTGCCGCAAAACTAACTGAGGCCATGTCACTGATGTCAACCTGGCTTGAGCAATCCTGTCTGCAACTGAACATATCTAAAACAGTTACCATGTTTTTTTCAAAAAACAACCTCATAAATATAGAACCTGAAATTTTAATATCTGGAGAAAGATTACAGGTCGTCACTGAATATAAATATTTAGGTTTACATATAGATTCGCATCTCAATTTCAAAACTCATATCCAAAAGGTTCGTAATAGGATTAAGTTTAGTTTAGCAAACTTCAGATTCATTAGGGATTTTCTTTCAACTGAAGCTGCTAAATCATATTTTTTCTCCATGATTTTATCCCATATAACATATTGTATAATAAGTTGGTCCAATACTCACTCTACTACAATAAAACCATTAGAAACATTATATAAACAAGCATTAAAAATACTGGATAAAAAACCTTACCACTACCACCATTGTAGTATTCTGAGGAAATATCAGTTACTTACCTGGAACAATCTTATCAAATTCAAAAACATCTGTTTAATTTATAAAATCAGACATGGTTTAGCACCACCTCCACTATGTGACTTTGTACAGTTCAGATCCAGTGAGGTCAGGGTAACCAGAGGGGCAGTGAGGGAAGACTGCATCCTCCCCCAGAGAAAAACAGCCTTTGGTCAGGCTGTTTTCTCCGTAAGAGCATCTCAACAATGGAACACAGTGCCAGAAACTATCAGAGACTCTTTGTCATTCTCTTCATTCAAAAAGAATGCAAAAAAATGGCTTGTAGAGAGCCAAATTTGTGGACACTAAGGTTTTTAGTGTGTATTTAAATAATTTTACAATATATTTTTAATAATTTTACATACATTTTACTTCTTGACCATAATGTTTTTATGTAATTGGTATTGTAATTTAATCTTGTGATTTTATACTTGTGTTTATTTTTAAGGTTGCCTTTTTAATATCTGGCTGGGGGACTACCGATGAAAATTAGCACTCCTTAGCTAACTCGGGTATATTTACATTGTTTTAATGTTTATTAATGTACACTGTCCCCTTTCAAATAAACAATAAATGAAATAAATGAAATGAAATAGATGTTCTTCCTGCTAATCCTGTCAGTATAGGTGATTAATCATGTCCTGGTAGTTTGCTGTTGTCCTTTTTCTGAGTAACTGTACTGTAACAAAGGGCTGCCGCTAATGATTATTTTGCAAATCAGTTAATCTGTCGATTATTTTTTTGATTAATTGATTAATAATCAGATGGCCAAATGATCCTTAAAGAAGATTTTTTTATGAAGTTAAACCAGGTGAAACTAAAATGTTTCTACTTGAAGAGTTCTGAATTCTGAATTACCTCAAATGCAATATTTAGCTAATTTTTTATACATTTTTTTTTAATAATCCCTGCTCTAAGTGGGTCATTCTGTCAGCTAAAGGCATGTTTTAGTCTCCAGTTAGCGATTAATTGGTTACTAAATCAGTTGACGATCATTTCAATGATTAATTTATCCAATTAATTGTTCACTAGATCATCCAGTCAGACTGACTGAAAGTTTTCTATCTAAGGAAAACCAGCTGATTGCATCGACTCATTGTCTCTTCAGCAATCCCTCACACTAAGCATGCTCGTAGCGACAGTGGAGAGGAAAAACTCCCTTTGACCAGGAAGAAACCTCCAGCAGAACCAGGCTCAGTGTCAGCGGCCATCTGCTGAGGCCCACTGGGGTTCAAGGAGACAGAAGCAGACATAGAAAAAGAAGCATAGATACAAAAGGCAACTGTCAACCAGCTCCACAGGCGGCCCCGTCCAGGAAACACACAGCCAGGCAGACGAGCTCCGAGCCAGCTCCCATGTCAGAGGATGAAGAGAGCACATCCAGTTAGTCACAGTCAGAGAAACAGGACTACACTGGAAAACAGGCCGATCCTCAAAAGATTTTAATGAGAATTTATGCAGCAGATATTTTGACGTTATAAAAAAGCTAATCTTTCACGAAATAATTGTATTTTTGAAAAGGATGCTGTGCAAATATTTTCCTCCCATTCTTCTCCTGCAAAGTCGCCCAATCATTGAAGGGCTGCAAAGTTCATTGAATAAGACACACCTCCTCATGAATACAACATCTGCATAGAAGGGAATCATGGTTGTTTGCAAAGAGGAAGATGCTCCAGAAAACCTGAGAATGGGGCAAAGGTTCCGGGTGAACAACCAAGCATTAACTTTAGACTAGGGATGCACGATATTGGGATTTTGGCCGATATCCGATATGCCGATAATTTGAAACTCATGTAGCCGATAACCGATATCGATACCGATGTTAAAGCTGGACAAAAATAAGTAGTCATTGAAAATAGCAGTTTTGTTATCCATTTCTGACACTTTGAAAAATTAAATACTCAAATATATTTTGATATGCTGATATCAAATAGATTTTTAAAAACGCGTTATCGATCTATTTTACTTTCAAAATCTCGTGAAATTTCATCGTTCTGTTACAAACTCTCGTGATATTTTGCAAATTCTTGTGAGATTTTGTTAGTAAAATAGATCGATACCGCGTCAATATATCAACATATAAAAATATGGCAACATTTGGTGAATTTTCGGGGGATTTCGTAGCATAACGATGACATATAGCAATATTTCATTAGTAAAAGAGATTGATATGGTGTTTTTAAATGGCAATATATCAGCATATGAAGATATTGGGATATTTTAATGGATCAATATTTTTTCCCTCGTCTTTAGAAGTTTTTAAGTTTGTAAAAAAGAAGTTTTTGAGGAAGAAGAGACTTTAGAAACTCAGAAGCTGATCAAATATCGGGTTAAATATCGGTGGGGTGGCCGATGTCCGATATTCAGTTTTAAGGCCGATACCGATAGGTGGCCGATTATATCGTGCATCCCTACTTTAGACCAGAGCAAAGTCTGATTCTGTAGCAATAGAGATTTGCTGGTAAAATGTGGATCTAGAAAGCATTGACCACGGGAGCCTAAATTAAATGAGTGCCACACTCTCAGACTTTTGTCAAATATTTTATAAACCACTTAACCCTTCATAGGGCCCTCAGTGAAATACCTCTAAGCTCAGAGTGTTAGTGGAGAACAGCACAAGAACTCATTACTATCCTAACATTTTAAACGTGTATTTTTTAGACGTTAAAATGAAGTGTCTGACTTAATATAAGAAAAGCAAGAAAGAAAAGTGCTTTTATGAGAAATTCCTGAAAAATAATCAGAGTGAAAAAAACTTTTTCTTTGTTGTTAAAACATAAACTGATACATTTTTTTCACGTTTTAACTTTTGAAATTGATTTCCAGCTTTTTTATTTATTAACTTTTTTCAAATTTATTTACCAAAGGTAACATATCATCTTAGCGCTGATTTAATAAAGTGACCAAAAACAGAAACTTGCCCTACAAAGTGATATTTCTTTTCCACTTTACAACTGTGAGATAAAATTCAAACTATATTAAAACTAAAAGCTTCTGCTGTGAAACAAGCTGCATAGTTTATTCCATAATATGAACGAGCGTCTTCAAGAGAGGAAAACATTTGTAGTAGATTGTAGTATTAAACGGAAGAAGGTTAGGGCCAGTGGAAAAAAAAATTAACTGATTTTTACATTTTATTTCAGTTTAGTATGGGAAAAAAGTCAGAATTCTGACCTTTTTCTCAGAATTCTGACTTTTTTATTGTCAGAATTCAGTCAGAATTCTGAGTAAAAAGTCCGAATTCTGAGATTAAAGTTTTTTCTCAGAATTCTGACTTTTTTCCCATACTAAACTGAAATAAAATGTAAAAATCAGTTAACTTTTTTTTTTTCCCACTGGCCCTAATCCTCTTCCGTAGTATTAAGAAGTAAAAAGGAAAAAAAAAAAAAAAGCAAACCCATCACCAATATCAAAAAGAATCAAATATTTTTAAACAGATAATCACTGCCCACTATTGGTTATTTGTTTCATTACATCTAATTCTTTAAATCTTTGAGGTTTTTTTTTGCCACTGTGTTCTACAGAGCAGAGAGAAACAGGACGTTTATTTCCACTGAAATGTCTCTTTAATCCTGCAGTCTCAGACCTCTGGATGTGGAGTTCATGAGGCGTCTCAGCAAAGTGGTCAACATCGTCCCTGTCATCGCCAAAGCTGACACACTCACCCTGGAGGAGAGGGAAAGCTTTAAAGAAACGGTGAGAATAAAACGATCTGTTTTTCCTGCCTTCCTGCCTGCATTAAATAAGATTAAATAGGAACGGTCTGCCTTTTATATGATGGGAGAAAACAAGAAAAGGTGTCTGGTTAATTACTGGACGCTGTATCTTAAAAACAGATTAAAAACTTTATCAGAGCATCTCCACTGCTAAGAGTTTATTTCAGCTGCTGATGTTCTTTTATCAGAGCATATAGAAACAAAAAAAACAAACTAGAGTCCTTCTAAAACAAATACTCGCGTTTCATTCACTGAAAAAGACTTTCTGTCTTTATATGAAGATATTCGAAGTCTTTTTACAAAAATTGGGTTTCAACAAACGTGCCTATTTTTGCAATATTCATTAAATTAAAAATAAATTAAAATTCAAATCAATCCACTGGACTTTGTTTCCAAGTTTGAAGACGTTTCTCTTCCATCCAGGAAGCTTTTTCAATTCAAACTGTCAGAAATAGCGTTTAGTTCCAGGTTTTATCCAGCAGCCCAACAAACAGAAACAGGCCAGCAATCCCCTTTAACGACCCTCCTTTCACAGGGTTCCTCCAGATCCTTAAAAAGTCTTAAAGACATTAAATTCAATATGAAAATAAGGCCTTAATTGATATTAAAATGTCTAAAATCAGTCTTTCATAGGTCTTAAAATGATAAAAAACTCATAAATAGGATTTTATTTTTGTAGTTTATATAAAAAAATGAAATAATTCACGATAATTTTTTGACATTTACCGAACAGCTTAACTGGAACCATTATTATTTCTATCCTGACAGCAGAAGCAATAAAAACGATGTTGCAAACAGACCTTGGGGTGATGTGGCATTAACTGTTTTTTAATGTGGGGAAGTGTAAATTCAATTAAATTGTCAATCCAGCCAATAGTTTTCTGCATGGCTAAAAACATTACCGGGTAATGGCGTATTTTTAGCAAGAAGTCATTCAACCTCGGCGCGATGGGAATCAAAGCTGTGGAGTCAAACATGTGAAGAGTGGAAAAATAAATCATGAAGTTACTGATTTCTCCCTTCTGTTCCACCCTTGTCTCTGCAAGGCGTCTGCAGCAATCTCCCATAATGTTTGGTGGTTGGCCTACAATGAAAGCAGAGCTATTATGGACTTTGAGTAGGGATAAAAACAAAGTTTATGAATTCCATTCATTAGTTGTTTAGCTTTATTCCTAAATGAAAAGTTTTTCGAAATTGTAAACATTTCTACTGGGCTAGAAAGTAATGGTTTATGTTCAAATAAGCATCAGGTTAAATTTGTGGCATCCAGATTTTCTTATGTTTATTGTGAAGTTGGCCTTAAACTCGTAGGGAAATCCTATTTAAATGTCAAATCATTCTGGCTTAAACATTTATACAAATGTACTCTTTATCAGACGACTATTGTCCCAAAATTTAGAAAAAAATAAAAATTTGTTGTTTTTTTTCTCATTATCTTCTGCAGGCCAGTTAGTTCTACGTCAGCCTGAACACCTAAATTCGGCCAATCATATATCAGCGGTCAATCAAATGTTTTCGATCATAGCATCTTGATTCATGTGTTGCAGCTAATATACGCCACGGTTGAAATCAGAATCCTTTCCTTTCCCATTGAGTTGCGTCCCAGTGTTCACGGGGATGGACGTCTGTGTCTTCGGCAGGCGTAGAGCTAACAGAACTGGCAGCGTTGCGAGGCAAGGGCTCAAACATGTACGGCTGGAAGCCTTCTACACCAAACCAAGCTTCTGCCGCCCTGGCGTCCTCTTCCACAACATCTTCGTCCCCGCTTTCCTCCTCTAAATAAAAAATGGATGACGGAGGAGACTCATCCACGACCTCCGACACTAAACTCTCCTCCTCTTGCATGTTTCCGCTGTCCATAGCGTTCCTTGACAGCGTCGTTTCTAAGTCACCAATTTAGTGCTACTTGGTCCCAATGGAATTTCCCATTGGGAACCTGCTAGCACTAAGATGCTAACTGGTTAGCAAGATGCTTCCAACAAACCAGCTACAACCAAACTTGCTTGCAAACCTTCCGCCACAACAATCCCGCCCCCTTGATAAACGACCAATCACATTCACTTTATTCACTCGTGTAAAGTTGGGCACCACTCGGGAGAATTCGGAAATTCAACGATTGGAACGGCCGCTTACCTACGACTTTAAAGTTTTATTTCAAGGGACCAAAAAAAAGTTTTAAAAAGTCTTAAATTTAACTTAGCTTATGTTGTAGGAACCCCCTTTCACACTTCAAAAAATTTAATCTTAAGTATTTTTTTCTTAAAAAAGGTGCATTTTTTTTTTTGAATTGAGGAGGTAAGTGAGACATTTTGCCAATAGAACAAGACAATTTACATTTAAAATAAGAAAAAAACATTTGCATTGTCTTATTTCAAGTGCATATTATCTAATGATCTTATTTTAAGAGTAAAAACACTCATGCCATTGGCAGATCATCTTGTTTACCTACTGAAATTAAGGGTAAATACACTTAATTTAAGAAAATCTTACTTATTTCTAGATCGTTTTTGCAGTGCAGAGACATAGACAAGTATGGGGCATTACAGGCTAACAAAGAAGGCTAACCAGACCCGTACGTCTGTTTCTATTTGCATGTTTTCTAAACTAAAACCAGGCTTTGTTGGGCTGCTGGATAAAACCTGGAACTAAACGCTATTTCTGACATTTTGAATTGAAAAAATCTTCCTGGATGGAAGAGAAACGTCTTCAAACTTGGAAACAAAGCGCAGTGGATTGTTTTTTAACTTTGGAATGACTGACCTGGATGACTGAGAATCTTCACTAGAATATTCATTAAACTCCCAAAAGGCGCCTCGTTCTGATGCCTCACTGCTCTCCTCTCATATCTTGACTCCCCAATTAAACTCAGATTCCTTTTTCTCTTGACCTAAGTCATAAATGTTTGGATTATGATAATCTCTCCCTCTGTGAGCTTCTGTTGGATTATTTTCAATCCGCAGAAAATAGCCTGTGACTTCCCATCATTTTCTTCCTCCTTTTTCCTTGAAGTATTATTTTACATAGATGCGGCAGCATAGCGGCTGCTTTAGCCTCCAGTCGTTTCCAGTAGTTGGGTCTGATAAGCCCAGAGCCACCGCTTGGCCTGTGCACCGGATCCAGAGCTGATTGTTTTGGTTGGCTGCAGATGCTCAGTCTGACCCTGAAGATTAGATACTGAGAACGTTTGGAGCCAAACTCCCTTTTTATCCACAATTTTCTTTTTTTTTTTTTGAAAGAATGAGTAACTTCTTTTGTCATAAACAAGAGAAATACCGCTACACTGCAAAAATGATCTAGAAATAAGCAAAAATGTCTTAAATTAAGTGTATTCACACTTAATTTGAGTAGGTAAATGAGAAAGTTTGCCAATGGAATTAGTAATTTTACTCTTAAAATAAGATAATTAGATAAAATGCACTTGAAATAAGTCAATACAACTGTGTTTTCTTATTTGAAGTGTAAATTGTCTTGTTACATTGGCAAAATGTCTCTTTTACCTCCTGAATTCAAGAAGAAATTCACTTATTTTAAGAAAAAATGACTTCTCTAGATTTAGATTTTTTGCAGTGTAGTTTTCTGGTGTAATATCTTTAGGAATAATCAGAGGTGTCAAATAACACAA